TATTTTTTTTTTTTTGTTGCCTTTTATATCGGGAAACAGCCCCCAGAGCCGTTCCTGCTCTCCTTGGGAAGGGGACGGGTCCCGGCTTGCCCTGGTTTTAAGGAGAGCAGGAGTTTGAGGAGAGCAGGAGGCGTTTGGAGCAGCTGGGACCGTGCCCCGAGGGGCCCGTGGGAAGCCTGGGAGTTCTCCTGGGTGTTGTCCGGTGGCAGGAATGGAGCAACGCCCGCGGGATCCCGGGGAAAGCTGGATCGTGTGTCCCCCGGCAGGCTGTGAGCCCTGGGCAGAGTCTGGGTGGCTCTGCCTGGGACCTTCCAGGGCTGTGGATGGATTTGGGGGGGTTTTGGGTTTTTTTTTTTTTGCTTTTTTGCTGCTGTAAATCAGGCAGAGAGCAGCAATCCTGGGAGTGTTCTGCCTCTGCCCTCCCTCACCCCCTGACCACGGAGGAACCTGCAGGTTCCACACTCTGCCTGCAAGTCAGGGCAGGACTCGGGGCTGGAACCTCGGGAATCTGCTGGAGTGGAGGCTGCTGGTGACTCTGTGCTGGGCTGTGGCCAAGGCAAAGCCCTTCCCTTTCCCGGGGGGGGTGAGGAAACCCGGAGGTTTCCAGACCTGCTTAGCCAGGGAAGAGCTTTTCTGTTCTGGGTTGGGGTTTTTGGGGATTTTTTTTTGTTTGTTTTTTGGGGGGTTTTTTGGTTTTTTGTGGGGGTTTTTTTGTGTTTTTTTTTTGAGGGGGGGTGTTTAGTTTTTATTTTAGTTTTTATTTTAGTTTTTATTTTGGTTTTTATTTTAATTTTAATTTTTGTTGCATGAAGTGTTCTCACAACTGCCCGGGGCTGGAGCTGCTGTAGTGACATTTGTTCCAGGGTATTTAAGGAGGGAGGGAAGTAACTGGGTGGCAAAAAGTTTTTCAGGGTTTGCTTCCCACCCCGTGCCAGTGTTGATATTTTATTCCTACAGGAGCAGCCTTCTTTTGAAATAAGAGATCAGCTCCAAGCAAGGTGTGTTTGGTTTGGTTTTCACTGGGGTGGGAAGAAGAGGGTGGGATTTGGGATATGAGAGAAAGGGAGCTGGGAAAAAGCTCCTCATGTTCCCTGCTCTGACCCTCTCACTGGTCTCTTCCCTGTGACCCACGAGCTGGAGCTGGGAATGGATCCCTGAATTCTGGCAGCACCATTTCCTGGCCTTGGTGGGGGTGCCCAGACCTGGGTGTGCCACCCCTGGGTGAGTCACCTCTCCCCAGGCAGGGAGAGGGGCCTGAGTCAGGCTCAGCAGGACTCTGGGAGTGGGGCAAGAGGCAGAGGAGCTCCCACAGCTCCACGGGGTGGAATTCTGGCTGCCACCATTCCCAGCACCCGCTCTGACCCAGCTCAGGCAGCAGCACAGCACAAAACCCAGCTTTTCTGCTGTTTGAGCCTCTTCTTGCCCCTTATGCTGCTTTTCTTTTACCCCCAAAACACAACTTGGCAACACTGGAGAGCTCCACCTCAACCTACAGCAAAGAACTGACCCACTGACTGTCTGGGGGGAGTGGGAGAAGGTCCAAAAGCCATGCAAGGAGGTCTAAAATCATGCAAGGAGGTCTAAAATCATGCAAGGAGGTCCAAAAGTCATACAAGGAAGTCCAAAAGTCATACAAGGAGGTCCAGAAATCATGCAAGGAGGTCTAAAATCATGCAAGGAGGTCTAAAAGTTGTGCAAGCAGGGCTACAAGTCATGCAGTGAGTCTCAAGATAAAGAATCTGTGACTAATCTGAGCTCCAAGTGTGGCTCAGGGGATGTGGGACCAGCAGAAGGGCCCTGCCCTGGTCACACAGGGACCCTGAGCAAGGACTCTGCCTCCTCCCAGGGCTCAGCAGCCCAGTCTGTGACACCTGAGGAGGTTCCTGAACTGCAAATTCCTGCCCTTGGCTCTTGGGAAATCCCTCCCAGAGCGGGAACAAAGGACAACCCACCCATGGAGCTCCCTGGGCAGCCCCTTCCCTGCAAACAGGGGCC